CTTCCTTCCTTCCTTCCTTCCTTCCTTCCTTCCTTCCTTCCTTTGTCTCTCTGTCTCTTTGGGGCAATCGTATTGTTGCTGAAGCAAAGGGAAAGCCCAGGAGGGGCCCTGGCTTGGGAAATGGCTGGGTCGGCCAAGCTGCCCAAGACGGCTACAGGAGCAACCCTCTGTCTTCTCTTGCAGCCCTGCGAGTCCCGCCCTGTCTCGGGCGGGAGGCCAGCGCTCGTCCAGCTTCGGGGTCCCTAATGCTAACAGTATCAAGCAGATGCTCCTGGACTGGTGCCGCGCCAAGACCCGGGGCTACGAGGTGAGCGTCTGCCTGTCTCCTGTGCCGCCCCCCGGCCCCGCCTGGGCCTGGCCCTCCTCATGCGGACCTCCCTCCTTTCTCTTCCCCCTCGGCAGCACGTGGACATCCAGAACTTCTCCTCGAGCTGGAGCGACGGCATGGCCTTCTGCGCTCTCGTCCACAACTTCTTCCCTGACGCCTTTGATTACGCACAGCTCTCGCCCCAGGACCGGAGGCGCAACTTTGAGATGGCCTTCTCGGCAGCAGAGTAGGTATCCCTGTGCCGGGCACTGTCTGCTCCTTCGGCTTTGCTGAGCCCTGGAAGAGCTCCTGACCTCTCTAGCCACACAGTGGCAGTGAGGTGCCCAGGTGATTCTCCCCAAAGCTGTGGCTGCCTCGTGTTCCAGCCCACGTGCGAGGTCTGCAGCAGATGGCGGCACTGAGCTGACCTTGGGTGCTTCTGAGGCGCTAAGCAGAGTTGCAGCTGATTGGTGTTTGGATGGGAGACCACCAGGAAATCGAGGGCTGGGATATTGAAAAAGGACCCCAGAAGAAGGCAGTGGAAAACAACATGGACGTGTCCATGAAGTAACCCAGAACTGGGCTTGACTTTTCCTTTTTTACCCACATGAGCCAGGCCTAGTTTCCCAGTCTTCGAGGGCACCCCAAAGCTTCCTGACGCCTTTTATTTTTAGCAGAATAAAATGGCGAACCTGTGTGGGCTGGCGCTTGATCCACCTGCCCAGAAAGAGGGGCAGAAGAGGGGATGCGTGTCCCTGGGGCTAGAAACTGAGGCAGAGACCAGCCTCACCTGTTTGGTAAATGGGGTCTCTGCCACGGCAGCCGTGTTGTGAGGGTACCCATGTCTCACTCACAAGGTGCCAGAGGCGCCTGGGCGTCAAAAGAGTTGGGGAGCCAGTCAGGAAAGACGCATAGGCCTTCAACCTGGTGGGAGACCACATCTCGGCAAGTGAAAAGGGAGCTGTGGCCCCCTCTCCCCCCATCCCCAGGTTTCTCTCTGGAAGTTGTGCTTGATAAACAGAGGGCCAGAATCAGTGTCTGTAGCTCTCTGAACTCCCCAAATCCAGCCATTCTGGCCCTTGGGAAAGCAGAGAGCCTCCGTCCTTTCACTTGGCAGAACTGTGGCCTGTTCTTCCTTGCGTTGCTAGTTGTGGGAATGGGACAGGAGCAGTGCAGGGCCCTAGCTCCATGGCTTCTGCCATTTCAGCAGTATCCCCTTGCAACCATAAGGACTAGAAACATATTTATTCAAAAACAGAACCCCGCACGCTGGGGGGAATCTTCCCGGGCGTTTTGCTGGCCCTCTGGCATACATTTCTCACCTCCTGGCCCGGTCTCTGAAACTTCTGTGCTTGTGCAGTTTTTCTCAGTGAGCTGGGGGAGGAGGGGGCTTTCTGGGGAAGTGCCTTCCTGAAGGGTGACGGGTGGGGGCTGCGGTGCACGTTGGTGCCTGGAGCTGAACGTTGGGGGGGCGTCATTGACCAAGGGCGATAAGCAGCTGCAACCGCTGTCTGAGATTCACATCACGGGCTGGGCTCCCATTGCAGCTTGGGATGCGATGCGGGGGGGACTTAGAGCCTGTTTGACCGGGGAGGGGGCCGGGCACTGCAGCGGCTTCTTTGGCTTTGCATTTCCAGGGGATTGCTCCAGCAGAGAAAGGCGTGGTGGAAAAGCCTTCTTCCTTTCCACTTTCCTTCACTGTTTTCTGTCTGTCCCTTCTAGCGCTTCGTCCCTCTCAGCTCCAGCCTTTCCGTGCCTTTCTCATCCTTCCCTTGAGCAGTGGTGGGCATCTCTCTCCTGCCCCTTAATGGTCCGGCGGTCTTGTGAAAAGGGGCACTGGCAGAATGAGTTTGGGGCTGACCTCAATGACTGTCTGCACCGGGGAACAGATCTGCTCGGCCACGCTTTACGGATCCAATCCCCTGGACATTCTGCTTTGGGCAAGGGCACGTGCCAGGCTGGAAACGAGCAAATCAGGATTCCAGGTAGAGGGCAAGGCGTAGCGATAGATCTTTCCGTCGCCTGGGGTCCAGCCTCAGGAGCGTCCTGGACGCAAGAGGTCAGCCACCGTGCACCGTAAAGCTCTGGCATCGGTTGACCTTACCTGCGTCAACTTTGGGAGGGCTCTCTTTTTGATTCTTAAGTTTTCCACATCTTCAGCAGTTCCTTCCTGCTTTTTTGTAGTCCGGTCCTGGTTTGAGTCTAATTAGAGCCAGTGGTCTTCAGTGGGCCTTGTTCCTTTAAGGCCACAATTTGTTTCAAAGTTGGGAGGAATTGGAAGACGTTAGAGCCCACTAGTCACGTTGTGCTTTGCTGAGTAGCTGGAGAAAGACCTCCGGTTGGGACAGGGTGGGGGGGATGCAAAATCAGGATAGAAACAGTACAGAAGGATTAGCCCAGGGGTCTGACTCTGTGTGCAGAAGGCCTCAGCTGGATGCCGTTTGGGAAATACCCCAATGATATAGTCCTACCAGCTGGAAAGGATTGATAGATGCACCTTTATTCCATAAAGAGGCCGATGGTCATCAGGTATTTCTCCACGAAGGAAAAAGACACACAGATGAAAGAAGGGCGTGCAGTAACAGATGTGATCCTTGTGTGCATGTTCACTTAACTAATATTCACCTAGTTAATGTTGAATAGCCAAGCAAGGTTGCATCGTGATCACAGACACGTTGGCTCATCTCTAGAAGATGGTTATACCTGCTCACTAAAGAACAGCTTTACCTGGAGAGCAGATGAGAACTGGTTTTCAGCAGCTGGCGAGCATCCTAGGTCCGCCGGGTTTTCCCTGTCCGGTTCCTGCTGCCATCGGCGTAACCTGCTTGCTTTCTATTTTTTCCCTCTATTGACCAAGCTCCCCCCACAATATTAATTCAGGGAAACTGCTTGACCAGCTCAGTTTGGCCTGCACTGGGGTCCGTGACTTGTGGGGGGCCACCCTTGGCTTTTCGATGGTGTGATGTGCTAGTAGTAGGTGGAACCAGGACGGGAAAGATTCGGGGGCCAGAAGAACTTGATTTGATTTCTCTAAATTTCATTTTAAGGGAAGTTCAAATGGAAGGCAATCCATTTGCTTCCTCTCCCGCTGGCGAACAGTTCCTTCTAGGCTTTAGGGCAGTGTTGTCCAAACTTGGCCACTTTAAGATGAGTGGACTTCAACTCCCAGAATTCCCCAGCCAGCATGGGGAATTCCATGGCTGGCTGGG